AGTGCATGGTGGCAAAATATATATATATATATTTATATATATAACACAGCTGATCTCGTCTTTTAATGTGCAAAAGGAAAACAAACAAAAAAAAATCATAGTAAGACCGAGACTTCCTAAAGTCAAGTCCAAGTGACATGAGACCCTGGAGAACTCATAGACGTCAAGAGAATAAATAAAAATTGAAACCGCCTCTCTTTTTTTTTTCCTCCTTTTCCTCCCCTGCTTTGTCCCAAAAGGGCAGTTCCAGGTTCAGCTTTTTTTGTTGTTGTTAAAACACATTTCCAACTCTTACAAGTGCCGGGCTCCCATCTGCCCCCGCCATGGCAGATTCCCCCCCAAGCTCTCCAGGCAGGTTTAGAGGCCAGAGCATCTCCAAGTCCCCGAGGAAGCGTCCGTGTTTGTCCTGGCTCAATGACGGCCACCAAAAGTCCTGGTTTTCGGGTGACCTTTTGACTTCTGGAGATTTGGTTTTTTTATGTACATGCACACGATGGACTCCCAGTTCCAGCTGCCACCCGGGGGGTGGTGGTGGGGAGGGGGACACACGCCTGTGGGGGGATGGGTGTTACATGGCAGTTGCGTGTGCTGAAGAATAAGGGTCTATCCCAGTCTTGGTCATGCCCGGAAATAATATGTAGGCAACTGGAGGTTGCAAACTGGAAGCCGACCAAGCGGTACAGTTACACGGCACGACATAGCCCGGGTTGGTGGGTGAGGGGTGGGTGTGGGTGTGCTGGCTGGGGCAGCTCAAGCTGCCAAATGCCCCATTCTGGTATCCCAAGGTGGAGGCGTAGGGCAGGGTGCTGGTGGCTAAGGTGTGAGGAACCTCAGTCATCTTCTGGATGGCGCTGGAGCTGAACTGGCTGGGGTCAAGTAAGGAGTAAGGTGCTGAGGTGGGGGGCAGGAAAGCCCTGGCCTTCTCCGGGGAGCTCAGCAGAGAGTCAGTGGCCCCCACGGGAAGCCCGGCAGCCTTTAAGGGATCGGTTTCCCCGAGGTAAGGCAAAGGGAAGACATACCTGTCCTTCTTGAGCAGGTTCTTGGGCTTGCGCCGGGGCCTGTACTTGTAGTCAGGATGCTCCTTCATGTGCTGTGCCCGCAGTCGCTTGGCTTCGTCGATGTAGGGCCGCTTCTCCGCCTCGGAGAGCAGCTTCCACTCCG